CTATTAGACAAATCTTCTCGACTTTATTTTGTGAGAAGAAACCGGATTTAACAATGTACAGAAATTAGATTATGGTATATTGGCTCATATACCATAATGGCTGAGCCAATAAAAAGTCTTGAATTGCATTATCCAATGATCCAGTTTTTAATAATAATAATAATTATAATTCACATGCACTCTGTCCTGAAAATCAAACAACTCTGAGGCCCCCTTCCTTCAGTTGCTGATCTCTTTTAAAAACATTGCATTGCATCAGTGCCAAAGTGTTCTGATATAAACTATAATGTACATTAATAAATGATTTTGTATGTCAGTAAATGGAAATATAACCTACATAGTTGCATAACAAATTAAGGTATCTTAACACATCTTTGTAAGGTCTAAATTTAAAGTCCATTAAATTTTGAGTTCATTCTGAAGACTCCAGGTCTTTTCTCTCCTTCAGATTTGGTGACTATGGCTGCAGTGGTCTTTGTAGAGGTCTCTTTGGTAATAGAGTGCTGTTACGTCTCAGCCTATGTTATTGTGACCTTGGTCCTCAAAGTGGGGAGCTCCTTGGTAAAACAATTTCCAACACATCCGTAAGGTAACTTTGGGTACAAGAGGAATCTTTAGTGATGTATTTTAAGGTGAATGTAAGAGAAAGGCTTCTGGAATCTCACTATAATTATATAAACAAAGTACATACCTTAACAAGATAACTTTGGAACTTTGCTTGATTGGTCCATGTAGATTCCTTGCTTATGGCAAAAATGTATTCAGGGGACACATGCACACACTACTTACTTCAACATTTAACAGACTTATAAGAACAAGTTTGTTTTGAAGAAAAACAAAAACAAGTAAAACAAGCTTGCTGAGGTCTTGTTTTTACTTAAACCATGTATAGCTATACTATAGATATTGCCAACATCACAGTTGTAATTGGTTAAAATTTAGTCTTCAAATAGTACACACACTAACAGCATGGTGTGACAGAAACAAAGTATTTACCTTCAAACTGGATGTACATCAACAAACAGGGGAAGAAAATGTTAATTTTTTTATCTTGAAGGTCACTTTTTGAGCTGTCATGTGTTCCTTGGAAATTGTCAAAACTCTGCTATTTTGAGTTTTTTAAATCACTTTTTTTTAACATGACTTCATACTCTTTAGTTGGATAATGTAGACTGCTAGAAGACTTATTTAAGGCTACGTATATATGCACGATCCTTTGCAGTAAAGCACTATTTGAGCAATAGTGAAAATCAGACCTGAAAAAAAAACTTCAGGCCTGTACGGGATTCGAACCACTGACCTCTGCGATACTAGTGCAGCGCTCTACCAATTGAGCTAACAAGCCAACTGGGAGCAGGCCATCAAATTAATTCGACATAAACCCGTAGATGATAAATCAAACAACAACAAACATATGAAACATATGTATGAACTGCGGTTATGAAACGTATATATGCACGATCCTTCGCAGTAAAGCACTATTTGAGCAATAGTGAAAATCAGACCTGAAAAAAATTTCAGGCCTGTACGGGATTCAAACCACTGACCTCTGCGATACTAGTGCAGCGCTCTAGTATCGCAAGGCTAGTTAAGACCTCAAGTGCTGCTTATTTTATGAAATATCAGGAAGTGTTTTTATTTTTACACAGAGATCTCTATCTTGATGGCAATTTTCTGGAGTGTGAAGGGGTGATTGAACTTATAAAGCTCATCGCTGACACAGCTGAAATGGAAGCTATTGAGCGTGCAGAGAGAAAGGATGGGGAAATCGCTGACTCAAATTCATTAACTGTACCTGGTGTGGCATCAGCCATGTCGTCAGTGTCAAGAGCATCATCATCAGTTTCTGTTAGGAGTAAACCTGGAAGGTTGGCCACTTAGAATTATCTAAGGAGTCATCTAAAGCAATTGTAAATAAAGCATTAACCCGGCCTGTGAAACTCCATCAGCCCTTTTTTTACTGGTGAATAGAACTGTTGATTTGCAGTATCCTATAACTCTTTGAGCCATGAGTAGTTTTTGGCTGTCTTATGAATTATAGTCTTTGAATGGTCGTAATTCGACTCTGTATAATTTTTACAGAATGGTTTGGTGGCTGGGGTCTTGCTAGTTTTCAAAATTACGAAAACTAAGACCCTTAAATTTACCGTTAAATTAGACCTAAAACTCAGTGGAAAGGATCCGACAGGAGATAATTTGACAAATTAGACTTGTTTTGGTTACAGTTTGACTTTATATTTCGATGGATTCGATTTTAGGGGGGTGTTAGTTTTCATAATATCGAAAACTAAGACCGGTCTTTGGTCTTAGTTTTCAAGGGTCTTAGTTTTCGTAACACCCATCTCATCACAGCTTGTTATTCATTTGTTTAGTACGTTATTACCTTAAAACTCAATACAGACATCTCAACGCAGCTTGTTGTTCATTTGTTTAGTACGTTAGTACCTTAGTACTTGGTACGGACATCTTATCATGGGTTATTGTTCATTTGTTTCATACGTTAGTACCTTAGTACTCGGTACAAACATTCATTTGTTTAATACGCTAGTACTGTAGTACTTGGTACAGACATCTCATCATGGTTTTTTGTTCATTTGTTTGATACGCTAGTATTGTAGTACTCGGTACAGACATCTCATTGTGGCTTGTTATTCATTTGTTTAGAGTGCTCGCAAGTACGTTTATTTTAGTACTGCAGCACTTGGTATGGATATCACATTGCAGCTTGTTATTCATTTGTTTAGTGCGCTGATATGTTAAACTAGGTATGAACAACGCAGCACACTAGTACCATCTTGCATCATCTGGCTTCCGAACGAAAATATATAAACAAAAATAACGAAGCCCAATTTATAACTCAGGCGTTCCATGGGAAGGCCGAGTAAATACTGTTCTGACCCAGCCAGAATGAAAAAAGAAGATGAAGATTTCATGCCTCTGGCTTCTGGACGAAAGCATAAAACAAATACTGTATAGTGCTGTATACACACTGTTAGTACTGTAGTACTGATGAATAAGCAAAAACTATAGAAAAGCATAGGTGCCATTTGCTAGCTTGGAGCTTTGAAGATGTATACTTTCCAACCAAATATGGATCTTTCCTTGTTCATTACAAGGAACTGCAGATTACTCATTAGATACTTTATTCATACAGATTACTACTCATTACAGAGAGTAGAATAAGCAAACAATAGAATGATTATGAAACAACAACTGTCAACAATTTTTGTGTTTATGAGGCAGGGCCTCATAAACACTTTTTCCTCAAATGTGAAATTTCTCTTTTTGGATTGTACATGACATCTTTAAATAGCGAAAACCTTATTTCCTCTCCTAATGCTGTCATTTTATTTGGAATAGCCTTTGCAATTGGCAGAAATTTTCAGATTGACTGCATCATTCTTGCATATCAATTAGTTATTTACTACCAAGAGCTCAACAGATATCCATTTACATCAATATTTTTCAAGAAAAGGTGAGAGGATATGTCAAATGAAGAGTTTGGAAAGCTGTATTCGAAAACTCACAAGGATATTAGTTTACTGGATGCTTTAGGGGTCAAATGCAGTCACTTGTCAAATTAAGTTTACCTTTCATCCTTTTAGTGCAAGTTCTCGAATGCCATCTACTGGAAAAATGGGAAAGAAAGGGAAAAAAAAGAAAAGTGCAAAGAAGAAGAAAGAGCCTTCTCCCCCACCAGTAGTGGGGCCTTGGATTCAGAAACTTCACTTGTTGAACAATGGCATTGATGGGCATGGATTGGGTTCAACTCTTGGGCCTGTCATGTGTATGAAAATGTTCAGAAAGAAGGTGCAACCTGTCCAATAAATAAAACAGTAATATCAAATATGCATATAATTATGCAGATCTCTCTAAACAGTTGGTGCTGACAGTTATGAGACATACACATGATGATAATGATAGTAATTAAAATTATTTATTGGAGGTGATACGAAACAGTATCACAGATGCTAGATGACCCTCCTACAGAAGATTATAATTGAAAATAAAACTGAAATACATATTTTTGAAATTTTTAAAAAAAAATCAGTGCCAAACTATTTATTACACACACCTCAGAGGTAGCTTAATTGCATGTTGTGATTTTGTTTTGTTTTTTGGTAATTTTAAATGGTAAAATTTCAGTTTATTTGGTAAAAAGGAATAGTAGTGAAGCTTGCAATGCGTGAAGTGGATGCAGCATAGCGCCATACTTGTAGAAAATAATAAAAGAGAAACGCTCATTGAAGGTGCAACTTTTGGCATGCACAGCCAACTGCATTGCATGCTCCAATCTAGCCATCAAGTGAAGCAAAGAGTTTTTTGGTGGGAATCCTTACTGATAGCCAGTATGTTGTAATCAACAAGTTCAATATCATTGATACTCAGCTGCAGTATTTTGCAACCTACTTGGAAAGAAGCTATACTCGTAGCTAAAGCTAAGTCCACCAGAGAAATCATTTTAACTCAAGTTTGTGGTGAAACTATTTGAGTGAAAATAGGCAGGAAAGAGAAGTAACAGTTGTGAGTGAGTCGGAAAAAGGAAATGCGAAAGAGAAATTACATGAAAAATGGGCAGGCACACAGCAAGAGGAACATGAAAAATGATATAAAGCTCATGTGAGAGGGTGAGTATCTGGGGAAGAGCAACATGAAAAGGAAAGACAGAGAGCTCCAGAAAACTGACGGAAAAGATGCAGTCAACAACTTAGAGAAAGCAAACTACAATGGAGCCGAGAAAGGAGAGGAGGTAAGTTGAGTCTAATATTAGCTTTTTCCCACCCTGAGGCCCAGAAAAATTTCAAAACTTTTTATCAATCATCATTAGATACTAGCTTCACTTTAATTCATTGTTATTTGATGATTGAAGGCAAAAATTGGAGTTTGTGTAAAATTATTTAGCATTTGTAGTTTGAAACCTTTGCACCGGTTCATCAATCACTTGACAACATTTAAGACTGTTCGTATTCTCCTAATTGTTTTGTTCCAAATGTGTAATTCGGGAGGTTTGGTGAAAAGATATTAACTTAGGGATTATTTTCTCTTGAAATCTGGACAAGTATTTTTCCTTAAAAGGTTTCAAATAATAGTGAACAGCACAAGCAAGCTTCCATCATTTGCTCTTCAGCAAACACTTAATTGTTATTCTTTTTTTTTTTTAAAAAAAAATCTCATTTGGTCATAGATTCGTGTTCTTATCCAAAGAACCGAGGCAATAGCCTTTCTGAAAAATGAAATAAAAAGATGTTGAGTCAGGGATGTTCATGGGTTTCATGGAGTTTGTTTGACCACAAAAATAGTGAACTACATTGTTTGAGCATGGTAAATTTTCATTGCTGTGTTTCCATGCTTTCTACTTGGTTTGTTCCAACTACAGGAAATGGTAATTGTCTCTCAAAACATAGGACCACTTTCTCTGCACATCTCAACTAAAAAGCACTTGATGCTTGGGTTATGATGAACTTGCTTGTGATACGGTAATTTTTCTTCAAACATTGGAACTGGAAGATTCAATCTTTGAAATTTATTTGCATTTTGCAAGAAACACGTGAGCTGTGATCAGGTGGTTAACCACATGGTAAGCGTAATTGATAGACATTGCTTACTGTTTTCAAATTCAAGAGCAGTTCTTCACATTATCTGTGTACAGCTCATGAATCTATTTACGTAACCTAATGGTTATTTTTTGTTGAATTTGTCGAGTTACACCCACGGACTTTCATAAGTTATCATGAACGATAAATTCATATCAACACCACAAATAATCAAAGCCGAATTCCAGCAAAATATTTTTACATTATCAGTTTACAATTCATGAACCATGTCCATAACCTACTTGGATATTTTCTGTTGAATTCATTGAGTTACACCCTTTCAATTTCTTAAGTGATTCGTATATGTTCCATGAAATTGCAGCACATTTCAAACTTTTTGTACAATTTTAGAAAACCATATTTTATTAAATGTTGGCTCTTGTTTATTTGGCATAATTCACTTCATGTTTATTATGCAGTGGCACCAAAAGCTATTTATGACTCCGAAGGTGCCATCGGGGAAAACACGTTGATGGCTTACAAAATGGCTTTCACAAACTCCCAATATCCGCCTTCGGGTACACAATTATATAGCCATTGCCGAAAACTATTTTTACTAATCACCTGATCATTTCTTACAAACCAAGGAAAATCCCTTACGACAAGCAAAAATACAGTTCGAAGGCGATAAAGTGATGCGACCACAAAAGCCACTTGGGGAGTCTGTGCCATTCTGTGTTTATCTATTCGCATGGCAAAAAGTCATTGTTTGTCAGCGCAAAACTATCCACAGAAGCTTCAGATGATTTCTGGGACAATTCATTGTCTGAAAAAGTCGACATTTCCCGACTGACAACGAAACAGTTCTCAAAAAAGTAATATGTGTGTTTCTCTGTGCAGCGAACAAAGAGAGTTGTGATATAAGGCAAAGCAATATAAGTTTGTTGAGCCTTTGATGTCATGATGACGTTTTTGTGGGCTCGGCTGGAACATGTTTTCAGCAATGGTGGACAATTTTTGGAGGACTTTGAAGCGGTAAAAATTGGTCATCGAAGGTTTGTTTTGAGTTTTTAATGGCAGAAAGGGTCTTAACTTGACCCAATTCAACATTGTGTAAACAATTTAGGCACAAATAAAATGGTCAATTTTCGTCTCAGGGGCATGCACTTTAAAAAGGGATTTAATTGACATCATAATGATCAAAATCCACTTAAGCTTTGAAATACATAAAACAAAATATAAAAACAATAAATAAATGTGATGAAAATCTGATGTTATGAAACACTTACAATGGGAAAACCTGCTGCTGGTAGCTTTTGTGTCTAATTTTTTAAATTTCGTGGGAAATATTTTTCTTTGAAAGCAGATACAGAAGTTGTCAGAGATAAGAAAGTTAATTATTTAAATCTTTTCATAATTACTACTGCAAAGTATACAAGTAAATTTTTGCAGAATTTCAAGTCCTTGATATGAGAACTCAGAGTGATATATTCAACAATTCTCTACATATATAAAACTGAATGTCTTTCACATTTTATTTGCCCCTTACATTTATTAGTAACAATAGTTTACTCAAAGACTGTTAGAAAAGCAAACAAACAAATGAATAAAAACAGTGAAATTAGGAAAAGATCGCAGACTACTGAAGAAGGGAAACTTGAATTGTGCTTGTTAATTTTCTCCAATGTCCTTCATGTTTTTGGTCAAATAAATGTAATCAGTTGTAGGGATTACCTAAAATGTGGCAACTTGTCAGTATGGTCTTGATTCTTCTCAGATGTCAGCTAGTAAAAGTTAGATACTTCAAATAACTGGCCCTAAGGACAAGGTACACATCATCAAAAAAGTCACACTGAAGTGGTTGATGATCATAAAATTTGGAGAGATTTGGTTTTGTGATTGATTTGTGATAATCAGAATGATAGTCTGGCAGGAAAAACCCACTGAGGTTTTTCCTATTCAACAGCAAGTTCATTAGATTTTGGAATCTACATTCAAACTTGGTGAGATAATCACATTAAATGTATCCATATCTTATGTCCCATTATGGTGTTTTTTTTTTTTAACATGGAAAGGTAATCATATAGTTATATGCCAAGTTATGTGTAGGTTTTGCTATAACTGTAGGAAAGGTGAGAGAATTAATATATATTCAACTGGAGAAAAAAACTTGCATCCTGAAATCCCTCTGCTAATAATTTAACAGACAATTAATAAAACCCAATAAAGCCCTTACCTGCCTACAATTAATAGCTTAATTCACAAAATGTTTTTCTTGTAAAATGGAATGTTTCAATAACTCTATTCCTTTCTCTTCAACATCGATTACTGTTTCTGGGGCACAATTAGAGGAAGCAGGTTACAAAAACTCTTGATTCAGTTAAATATTTGAATATGTGAGTAACATTTGATGTTTTTTCATGAAACAGGATGGTTCAGATGAAGATAGCCCAAAAGAAGTGAACTTGACAGTAACAAAGGTGACAAATGAGGAAACTTGATCACATTAGTTGTTACATCTTGGCTTGAAATTCTGACAATTACTGAGATAATTAAAATGTCAGTCCCTGAACAGGAATGCACCTTCCATATGAACTGCACAGTCATGCAGTCATAAGCAATGAGATAATTGAAAAAAATGTTTGTGTGTTTGGCAGAACTACTGTTACTGCAGTGGTACCTACAGTATAGTGACAAAAATTACTAATTTCCTGTAAGTACAAATGTATAGGAGAAGTTATGGCAGAAACTGACCTTTTTTCTGCAGGGATGCATAGGGTTTGATGATTGTAATGTTTTTCAGGTTTAGCATTGAGACTTTCGACTTTGTATGAATTGTAACATTTCACCATAATTTTATTTATTCCTTGTACCTTAAATAAGCCCTCAAAAGTTTATTTAGTTGTAGCAGGGGAGTGTGTAACCTGACTTCCTTTGTTTGCAGTTGTGTGATTGCATGCATAAAAATTTCAGTTGCAAATAGCGACACTGTATTAATACCAACATTGTAACATGTAAAGTTATTTGGATGGCATTAAATACTCAGGCTCAAGCTCTCAATAGTTTGTGGTGTTCTTACAAATTGTGATATCCAGACTCAACATTGATATAATGTAAGGAATTAGTCACAAGTTGTATGATTTTTAAAGATGGTAATTAAACTAGAAAAGCAAGGATCTTCCCACAATTAGAACTGAAAATAATGATAACATTATGTCATCTTACAATTAACTTACTGAGTACGTGTCATGCAATCACCTTTTAGCAATCACTTTCATGATGATTTGTACTATTTTGGAATATTCCTAATTGCCCATTTCCTCCTTTAGTCTTTCAAAGAGCTTTGACTCGACAGTTACACATGTGCTAACTGAGACGAAAGGTCAAGTTAAATTTTAACGTCACGGCATTACTTTGGAAATGTGATAAAGGCCGGCATTCCCATATAATTTCAGAAGGTTGCTATCAATTGGTCTGCCATCGACATATCAATTTATTTACGTCTGAGTCATCTGAGTACATATTCTGCCCCATTCTAATAGTTGTTTCTATGCGTCACTTACCCACAACTAAAAATGGGAGACAGGACTGTGCATTCAATATATAACTTGAGTTGCTGCATGTTGAGCTATTTAATTTCAACAAATATCCAAGCCTTTTCAAAAACTTTCATGTTAACATTTTGTCATAGTGAACTGGTGAAAGTCTTAATGGAAGGTCAAATTCATACTTTTTTCAGATCAGTAATGTTTGTTATTTTGTTTCATGTCAAAATGTTGCTACAATTCATACTTCCAAAAAACGCATTCATTGGCTGACATGAGATACCATTTAAAACTTTCCAACCTCTTTAAGGGTAATGGAAACATCAACTCAACTTTAAAACTAACAAGAAAATTTGATTGTTTGTAATTAATTTCTGTAATTTACATGTACAAATGAAATCCAGGTATTTTTTCTAGGTTTCTACAAACATCTTTATTGTCGAATCCTAAGTCTCCCTTCATCATGAAGTTTGAAGTATATTCTTGTTTTAGCTTGTGTAAAAAACAGATGCAAGACAAATTTCATATTTCAGTAGCTAGAGTTGCCAAGATCTTGGACTTCTGGTTTAAAGACACTGTCATTATATGCAGCCACAGCAGAGGTTATACTGCTTTAAACAACAAATTCCCAGCACAGTGGGCATTTTACTAGTGTATTGTAAAAACATCAGCAATCGTGTTTTGATTGGTAATAGGTATACAAGGGGATTTCTTAAACGGGAAAAATCATTAACGACAAGTAACAGGTAAAGGGGAAACAAACTGATGAGCACAGATATGTCTATTGAGCAGTCTAGTTGTTATTTGTCTCCTATTGATTTGCAGACTTATAACACACTCTGAAAGCTTACAAGAACTTGATCTAGATGATAATGCTATTGGTGACCTTGGTGGAAGAGAGATCCTTGAGGCTCTCATGGATAGAAAGGAAGGTTAGTAAGAATAAGAGGATGTGACATTTGTTAACACAGATGGCAAAAACGTCATGAATCCCTTGCTTTCAGTCAGCTCATTACCTTTGTAACATTCCCCCAATTACAGCACTCTTTTAAGTCTAGGAGCCAAGTCCCCAAGACTGGCAAATTTGCACAGCACACCTCAGAGAAATAGTTTGATACTACCATATTCAATGTCTGCAAGCAATTTGTGCTCTTTGATATGAGATACTTCATACAATTCATTTGTAGTATAAGAATGGAGATAACGGAAGTTAGTTACCTCAACCTGATGCTCACTGTGAAAACAAGGCTCTCTTCATGAACTGTATGTACAATTGCCTGTTTGCAACTAAAACTTAAAAAAATTGAGTTATGTGAAAAAAGCCCAAAAAGGCTTCCTCAATATCAAATAACTCATCACGTGAACTCATAAAGTAAGCAGTCGGTCTTTTTTCCACAAATGAATTGTCCTCACATAAAAAAGTAGACATTGCTCTATAGGAATTTGGCATCAAACCTTTTTCTGTGAAGTGGGTTGTGTTTTTGTCATTATTAAGGTCTATGGTCCTTGACTATTCCATTCCTGGCATGCAGTGTAGCAAGATAAGTGAGAAAATTTTGTAACCCATGAAGGTGATATTAAAGCAGAACAAACATCCATGAAAAGTCACACTGAGGAGCAAAGCAGGTTATGAAACTATGGCAAATTTCATCATAGACAAGCTGAATGATGTTCAAAACGTTTGGTCTAGATTAGGAAGTACAGATGTAAATGCAACATAAAAGTCCTCTTAGAATGCAATTATGTCTCCGATTTTGAGATAGCCAAAGCATGGTAATAAGTAAGGCGTAAATAAATGGTTTTTTCAGGTCGATCTTATTTGTAAGTGTTGATTAGTCTTCACCTTACTATTATAAACATTTTAACAAAAGTCAACCCTCAAGAAATCAAGTACAAGCTACATGATTTACATACCTGAAATTGATCTTCCAAATAAAACAGAGATTATAACAAAAGAAATTTTGTACTGTGATAATGAATCTCTTTAAATCTAGGGTGAAGTATTTGGGTAAAAAATGAAAAACAAGGCATGATATAGGGTCTTCTGGTTAACAATCTAAGAAGGAGCCCTATCCAACCAGTCTGAACTTCATTGGTTGTAACTATGAGTGCAGGCTACATGGGAAAGCATTCTTACCAGGTCTAGACTTTTGCATGATTTCCTTCAGCAAACAGCAAAACATCAAATTTTCAGTACTGCTGATCTTAGGAAAAAACATGTGTCTAATAAAGGAGGTCATGAGTTGACTCCCTGTATGACAGCTGGTGCATTACTCCAGACAGGGTATATTTAATCTCTCTTGAACAAATGTGTTAAAAAAGAATTATAGAATGTTTCTTTGATACTCAACTGAATCCATATTTCCTGTTCATCCTAAGGTGGCTTGAGTCCTATGAAAATCAATGTATCACACAGATTAAATTCTTCAATTTTTGCTGAAATCAACAAGCTTGGCTCAGGTCTCAAGAAGAAAGGGAAAAAAAGCAAAGGAAAACCAGGAAAGGTAGTCAATTGGCTGTCACTGAAGTTGTAGTAAGATAGCTTTTCAATGAAATTTGACAGCAAGCAAAGTAAGTTATCTAAGCAAGCAGTGTCTTTTATTATATTTGTTCCTTTTTCATTATTTTAAGCAATCAAGTAGGGTGCTTAAAAAAGTTCTGATAGTGCAACCATACTAGTTAGAGTGTGATTTGTAGTTGGTGGCTTTGAGAGTAGTTACTGTTTAGTTCACTAGTCTCCAGCTGTACTCTCCTATCTGCTGTTTCTCCATTTGTTCCTCCCAGAAACGAATTTAGAGTAAAGAAGAGCTTCTCAAGAATCAGTGGAGTGATGTTTATGTAGAATGTCAACTTAGTACCTGGGAAATTTTGATGATTTCATGTAATTAAGAACAACTTGTAAATTAATGTCACTTACTGACAAATCTTTCAATAAAGTTTGAACTATTTTTTAGGTTTGTCTGTTTTAAGCAGTAAAAAAGATCGATACCTTTTTTCTGCATGTTTCTGGGTACAGATATGAACACCGGTAAAAGCAATTGAATTCTCAAGTGAGTTTTGACGTACAGACCGAGGACTAACATCGTTCCATTTCAGTAGGGGAGGACAGTTGTTAATGTTAATTTATATTGTGCCTGAAAATTGCTATTATAATGAATTATTATTACAATGCACGACAAAAGTAATCTTCAGGGAGTCAGCACTGAATTTCACAAATCTACTGGCAGACTCTGGTCGACATGGATTCCTTAAGGTCACCAATTTATTGATGTTGAAAGAGTCAATTGGTGAGTTGAACTGAAATGAACAAACTTTTTTCCTTATGAAGTAAGTAATATATAAGTAAGTAATTTATTTGAACACATAAACACCAGAGTTAACAAAAACTCAATTCCATAAGTAATTTATTTGAACACATAAACACCAAAGAGTTAGCAAAAACTCAATCGCACATGCACATGTAGGAAAAAAAAATTGAAAGTAAAAATTAAAAAAACCTAGTAAGTAAAAAACTTTAACTACATTGAGGTGTAATACTTATGCAAGATTTGAATTTGAAAACTATGTTCTTTTAAAGAAATATAACCAAATTGTTAGTGGTGAGGGAAAGATGGCCACAAGTTGAGATGGCTTTGACTTTTATTAAAAAAGGTTCAAAATTTCCTGATGTCAAGGTAAAATTCATAAACCGAGACAACCCTGAGATCTTAATCCTGAGTTCAGATTTAACAAAAACAAAACAATATATTTGTAAAATAATTGCCTTTGGATAGGCAACACATGGCCGCTGTCTTTTATGATTGAAAGTGAGCCTCAAGCCCTACCACAGCTGGGTTAAGAGGATGGTTAGGATTCAAAAGCAGCTGACATGGGAGGTGTTGCAAGCAACTGCTTGCTAGAGTTCCACTTGATGCCCGCCTTTAAGCAAACTTAGGCAAAAAAAATGAAGGGGGTGAACATTAAGGCCAGCACTGGAATGCAACCCAGTAACCAGCCCATGAGCGGGTGTGTTGCTGGCTGTGTGTCTAGAGCTCAGGGGAAGGTAGGGAGGGCTTTGGACTTCTGAGCCTTTTGTACACATACACGTTTTAACGAGAACTTCTGTACTCCTAGGTGTAACGTGTTTAAATAAAGGATTGATTGATTGATTGATTGATTGATAGCGTGCTCATAGGTTAAAATGGCTGCAGTACTCCACTTTTCATTAACTTGAGTTTTAGGAGAGCGTCCAAGCATTGAAATTGGGAAGGGGCTTCTATTGACATTGGAGACACCTTCCTGCTAGATTCTTTGCTGAGCTAACCTTTAAGTTAGCCTGTTCAATGAAAATGCAGGGAGCTTAGCACAGAGGGTAGAAACTTGCATGCAACCCAACCAGTGACCTTTTCCAAGGTTTGTGTGAATGGCTCACTTTCTGAAGCTTAGGGGTGCAGGGTAGGTTTATGGACTCCCCTGGTCAACTGGAATTTGCCCTCAGGCTGAAAGGGGCTAATTTCGATCATCCTGTTGGCACACCATTTTGTTGGGTGGGTGGTCTGGAGGGTGGTTGAGTGTCAAAAGCATTAGTGTGGAGAGGGAGCAACATTGTAAACACCTGTGTGTTAGTTGTCACAGTGCAATGATCCTTCAGCTTTCATGGAGATAAGGCATGGAACAAGCTTCAAAAATCCAGTAGAGATGCTACCTCATTGAATAATTTTAAGAAGAATTTAATGAAACTATTTAAGAAATTTTAAGATTTCATCTTTCCAATTTTACATACATTTTTAACTTTCATTATTATATACTAGTTTTATGTCATGTTAATACTATTGTAAGTAATTCATTTATTTATTTTCTAGATTGTGGCTGAAAAGCCCCTACTCTTCATTTTCACGTGACGTCACACTTAGCCCATTTCCGAAACATTCAGGCGCGTAACACTGGTACCAAATAAGAGAACGAAAGCGAGGCTCGGGGCAATAGCGCAAGAGAAGTTAAAACTTACAGCCAGTAGAGACAGCAAATGTTTTCGTTTTGAGCGTTAATTAATCGTAGTCGAACGATGGTTAAATACTGTGCAGTTGCAGTGTGTAAACATGGGAGCCATAACAAGCCAAATCTCTCGTACTTTCGCTTTCCATCCGATCAGAAACTACGCAAAAAGTGGGAAACATTTTGTCGAAGGGCGGACGAAAAGTTCAAGACGCTTGCAGATCCTCGGGTATGTTCGTAACATTTCAGTAGAGAATACCTTTAAAGGACGCCTTCGGGAAAGATTGAAGTCATTTCTTGTGGGGTACCGACAATAGTTGATCCGAAACAGCCCGCAGCAAAAAGTGAAAATAGGAAAAACAAGCGGGATCGTCGAGCACAACACTTGGCAGATAATTCAACAGAGCTGCTGCTGGCGAAAAGGAAAAGGGGAGACGTGCAGGAAGGTAAAATCGGTACAATACATTCATCAGCAGGGAACACCGGTGTGATCGGCGACCACGATTACACGGACCGATTCGAAAACATGGAAGAGCAACACAGAAACGTGCTCTATGCCAGACGGAACTTACAATGGAAGACCTCGCCAAAATGGAAAGGGGAGTAAATCAGTCTTCGATTTCAATCCCAGCCTCCAGCCAAGAAGTTAAAGTTGGCGCTAATGCTCATAGAAGAAGAGAGCAAGTGGTTCAAGACGTGTTGAATAGCAACGAATCTTTAAGATTTTATACAGGCATTCCGTCTTCATCGATCCGTTGTAATTTCATTTCACGTGCCTTTACCGTGAGCGCCACCAGTTCAGCTTTACGTTTCAGTACTGCGTCCTTGATCCCTCACCTGAATCCCTCTCTTTGTTGAATAATCTTTTAGCCAAGGAACGCTCTTCCCATCAACTCTTTCCTCCATTTTTTCTTGATTTCAAGAAAGTTCCAAAATGCTTATGGCGGTTTACATACGCGAACATTTTTATATTTAATTTCGCCGCGCGATATTCCCCAAGCCTCGCTATCGTGTCTTTATTTGCTACCAGTCTTACGTGCCCAAATATATCGGAAATGGGCTATTGTGCACCTAGTCCATGAGCCAGGACCCAAATTTTAAGATTTTGGTACCACGTTGAGGGACCACATGTCTTACTCATTTTTGTAAAGAGACATGTCTATAGATACTAAAAAACACTGATGGACGTGCATGTGTTGTAGCTTAAGGCGAAAATTGTTGTAGTTTTAATCGCCTGCCAGACGAAGCAGTATTGGCAGAACAAAAACAGCCCACACCCATTTCAAGCCGTGATAACCGACAAATGGCACATTTACAGCCCTTGTATCTCATTTATCACATAAAGCTTAAGTGTTTAATGTTATAAGTAGATCAAGAAAGGTTTTAAGTTATCACTGTTTCCATGGAAACCAAATGTCAGCGATTAAATGAAGGCTATTTGTTGCCTCATTTTACTTTCCGATTCCGACTTTTAAAGTACGATTGTCTATTTTACTAAAATATAATTTTCAGTGTTTCTTCTCATTTTAAGAGATTAATAGTGAAGGACAACTTTGAACGGATATGAACTAGGCAAATACGCAGTGTCATACATAAGTTTCCTCGTCAGAGAACCATTTTTTTTTCTTAATTTGACAACTAAACCGTGCTTATGTCTAATGGCTATCCTAGGCAAATTCGACTTTATCGTATGAGCTGTGTGAGTACGAAACGTTCTCACAGGCGATCGTTTAAATCCCACGTTGACATAAGAACTTCTTTTACGCGCTTAACGGATAGAGACAAAGTTGAAGACAGTATTGATGTAAACAGGATACATAAATTTTATTGAAGCGATGAGAAACGGAGATCGGTTCTGGGTCAATTGGAAAGCGTTGAGCGTTAGGCGGTTTCGAAAACTAAAGAAGTAAATATAGCGAAAATTACAATTAGACTAGCTAAAAACTATTTACAAACTTTGAAGACGAGCGTTGAAAGTCCAAAAGGACAATTGAAAACGGTAACATGCATAAAGTAAAACATGACTTATTTCTGTGTCCGCGTTTGGGATTTTACAGAGTTGCCGTTGGACCTTACCTCTAGATCTTACCACGATAACTTGTAGACTTGAACTGAAAAATCTTCCTAAGCACGATCTACAAAAATCTAGCTAGAACAAAGCATAACGGCACTCTGTATCGTTTACTGTACGTGGGCGATCATTTCCGCGAAATAACCACAAAAATTACGTTATAAAAACACTAAAAAGAAACTTAGAAAACTAGAAAGGAAATGCGAAAACCAGAATATATTTAACAGTAACAAGCTGTCTGGGAAGTACAAACTACTTCTTGGAGCTTTACTTCAAGTTAATCTTCATCATCTGAACTATCCTCTGAATCCCAATTTTGCACTGTGGAGTTGTTTTCTTGCCAATTATTGCAGTCTTGCAGCTTGCATGTGACGGTGCATTTCAATCCATTCGCGAGGCACTGGCAGTTAGGTAGCTTCCAAACGGAGGTGCACTTGCAAGATAAGAACTCTGTAATGACGTCTGGGGCAGGCGATCCTGTCATCCAGCAAATTGTAAGTCTTCGATCTTCATAGCACCACCTATGACCACTTGGGTTGGGAATACTGGGACACTCTTCAAGGGCACGGCGCCACACTCCAGCCTGATAGTTTGCACGAAGACTGTGCATGAAGAGGCAATCTTCACAAGGAGGAAGCCGTCCTGACTCGATCTCTCCTTTCTTGGCTCTGAATAATTGATACCTTAGCTCATTTACGGTAGCGCTTGGGCATCTGTTAGCATACAACTTACAGGTAAACTCTTGAAGCACGCTGAAGAGGTCTCTTGGCACTGACCATTCTTTTCCCAGCTGGGTAAACGCATCTTGATACTTCCTGTTCTTCTGCCTAAGCTTGAAAGCGTGGATCTTCCCTTTTCCTCCAAAAGCGCTTACAGTGTCACAGCCTGTGAACGAATGCAATCCAGGA